CGGAGACCCCAGCCACACATATAAACCATACGGCTCCGATTTCGGAGTCCCCGGCTGGTAGTGGTTATAACCCTGTGCCATACCTCCTCAATGCAATCATCTTGTAGGAGAGAACGCACATCCAGTCGGGTGTAGTCGGCAGGCAGAGGTTCAAAGCTGCGAATAATCTGCAAATGCAATTGGAGACCTTGATTGAGAAAAAGGCTGAACTGGATGTGATTACGGTGGCAATCCAAAGCACTAAAGGAATGTATTTACATTATGCCCAGTAATATGAGGTCTTAGGCAAGATGTTACTGAACGAAAGCCTTACGATAACCTGGCATATGATATCTACATTAAAATGCACTAGGCATACAATTACTCACCACGATATCATGGGGGACTTTTGTTTAAAACATTAGGCCGAGCCCTTTTCTTTTATCATCCGCAGGCGCAAACGCTCCGAGCGATAACTTACAAAGAGCAGCGCAGCACGATGACTCAATGCTACTACATGTACTTTCTTGCCTAGTGCAAGTCACAGAACAAGGTATGTATTTACCAGAAGTGGAAGAGCTGTTTAAAAAACACTCTCTTTCACACATCATCTGATGTTGCACAGGGGCGTCGATTTGCGCTACACGCGACAATAATCTGAATTTAATATTTCCGTAGACAGCAAGCACACCAATTACCAAACAACTGGAAAGAAGACGTACACGGTGTGCATAAAATGAACATTAGGAGAGAAAATATTGGTGTCAGTCATGTCTGTCATTCATTAACACATTTGCCATACATCCAAACACTTTGTGTAAATACCAACTAAATTATCTGAGGCTTGAAATATTTCTTCAGTAAATTCAACTATTTCCCAAAGACAGGCTGAGACACCTTGTTACACGTCAAGGTGTAACAACCAATATTCTCCAAGAACATTACACAGAGATAATATTGACATCATTTAACAACTTCACACTACATCTATGAGTAATTTTGTGTAAAGATCATTTGTAATAAAAAGGACACCCATCCGTTGGATTCCTATGAAGGGATCTGGCCATCAAGAACTAAATTAAGAGAAGCAATCTTTTCAAATTAGTCCTTACTCTGTTTATTATTAAATGCAAAAAACCAAGGGTTGACAAACCTTTTGTATTTCAGCCAGGCCACGATTATGAGTGTCTCGTTTGTTGCAGGTTGCGGCATCAGCCATCATTTCTACAACAAACACCTAGATACAACAAGAGAATACATGTATACCACTTCCAATTTTACAACAAAGAGCTAACGCACGACAAAAAAGCTACAGTTTGGTTTACAAAAAAACTCGTGGATCTTCTGAGCAACAAACGACGGTAAATGGTCCAAGTTAACACCATAATACAGACACTGTATTGCTGCACAAGTGGGAAAGTCCCAATGAATTGTGCAAGACCCCCACGAGAAGCCAAAAGTCAAGATTCAGAGAAAGGTCTTTTCAGATGTGGTTTGAATATAATGCCTACCGGTACATAAAGCACTGTTATACTTGGTTTCAAAACCCACCGTCAAACTTTTCTCCACAAACACCTGTCTTGAGGTTTATAAGGTTGTGAACAGTTTCCACATATACATGCCTTACAAAAACTAACTGCCATCCTTACAATGTAGGATTGGTGGCATCAATGTCTGTTCATGTGTAGTCTAGGGCCAAGATGGCAGAACTCGATAGCAGACTCAATCGAGCATATGCCGCGTGCCAATTTCTATTGCGCCCTCTCGTGACTTCATTTCACCAATCAACGGCTCGTTCTACTGTCTTGGGAATCTCCTACAACCGAGGCGTGGCCTCTGTATGCAAAATTGTAGTTAATATGAATATTCATAATTGACCGTAGGAGGCGAAATAGGATACAAAAGAGACCGTGAGAGCGTTGGAGCGGGTTCGCCTCAGTAGTGTCAGCTTGTTATTTCTTCAGTTTGGTTATAGGAAGTCTTTTACAGGCTTACTTCTTCGCTGCTTGTTCCCATGCATCGACCGCGACCATTATCAATGGTGACAGTGCTGGAACTTCAGTAATACGTTTAGCGACCCGTAGTAGTGCTTGTACATGTACATTTTACGCATAATATGTCATGTGATGCAGGTCATTGATCCAGGTCATTGATCCATATTCATCACATACAGGTTCAACTGGAATTTCCCTGGCGCTGATTGATACCTCTGGAAATCCGGAGGAAAACTAAACAAAAAGTTATACAGTTTGTAGGAGATTCCCAAGAGGGTAGAACGAGCTGTCGATTGGCACAATGGAAAACAGCACACGTGGCATATTTTATGCTCAATTGAGTCCGCTATCGAGTTCTGCTGTCTTGGCCCAAGACTAGTTCATGTGATGCTGTATGCGTCGTAAAAAAATTCTATTTTTTTTATTCAGGTGGGTTAGAAGAACTTCTTGCTGTCCTAAAGTACCTAAGAAAATTGAAAATGGGCGGGTTGAAAATGTCGACTTCAGAAAAAAATACAAAGATGAGATTTTTGCTCCATAAACTATGTTTTCAAGTCGATGTGAACATGAAGTCAATCTGATGTTATCGCTGCAGAAACAAATAACCCCCCCCAAAAAATCAAAGTGAAATAACAACTGCTTTTGTGGGAAAGGAAGCTGGCACCTACACACCTCAAACCCTTTGAGCTTGCTGTAGTTTCTGAAGGGGACCACATACTGCATCTTGTCATTGATGGCATCCACTATGATGACATCAAAGAAGCCATCATCTACTGTCTTCTTGAAGGACTTCAGGAGGCTAGTGCGGTAGGCTATCTCCATCACGGCCTCGTACTCGTACTCGAGAACCTTAATGGAGAGAAATGGAGAGAAATGGAGAGAGATGGAGAGAATTGGAGAGAAACACACAGAAATTTTGCTCAAAACCATTTACGCTTACCTTGAGGAGGAACTTCTTCCCTGTTTCTGGGTCTGTCTCCATCCTTTCCACTTCAGTCATGAAGTAGTCATCCAGGCACAGCATCCGAGGTACTTGACCTCCCATCTTTGTCTCTAGATTCTTGAAGAGAAAAACACACACCATTACTCTTAATTCATGCAAGAGCAACAGAAATTGAGTGAGATGTCTTCCCATACAGAGCACTTTCAGTTTGAGCCAGAAAACTGATGAATTACACAGATTAATCCTTCTATCAAACACCGTTCTCCTAAGACACAGTTCAATATTTCAAATTATAAATATGGAAGTAACCTCTCAAAAAAATGGAATTTTTTTTATTATCAGGTACAATTTTTGCGTTTGGGAGATGTTAAGTTTATATTGGGCATTTTGCCTTCTGCTGAAATACATATAAAGGTACAAGGAAAAGAAAACAGTACAAAATAATGTCAAAAGAGTTTTCTACAAGTAAAACCGAAACCCTGTAAGGATCATGCCTTTCAGTTCTCACCTTGATGAGCTTGGAAACATAAGTTTTGCCACTTCCTGGGGGTCCTCTCAGAATGATAACGATCTGCTTGGGCCGTTGACTACGGCCCGGATTCTTCAGCAAGTCCTCAATCGGGACACTCTTCGGTTTGGGTTCATCAGCAGATGGTGGAGGTGGTGGGGGTGGGGGATAAACTTGTAGAGGCGGATGTTCCTCCCCAGTGTGAGGACTGTCATATTCACCCATTGTTGTTGGGTAACTTGTAGACACAAACATGCTGTCACAGAGTAAAGAAAAGTACTAGATGACAACTGAAGTTTGTGACTTCAAAGAAACCAAAATTCACATTATTTTCCAGGGAAATGTTGTTGGTTTGGTGTTTTAAACTGAAATTCTTCCCGGATCCTCCACAATCCTTACCTGTGAAGGAAACAGGTGGGTCTTTATTCATATTTCAGCTTTCAAGAAACATTAAATTCTAATTTAATGTTATATTAACTTTTCCATCTGCAATCTGCAAACTCCTCCTGGAAGATTTGGAAGAATCTTAGAGATTCAGGATCAATGAAATTATAGAACTGCAATTTTCTTTATGAACTGAAGAACAGGACTTTCATGCTTATAAAAGAACCCTTGAAGTCCTTGAATTTCTCTAAAAAGGTTTCACTAGTCACACATTGTACCTGTCATCAGATTCGAAAGGATCTCCTCTTTGACCAGCCACCTCTTGATCACAATGCCTAGGTTCGTTGCCATAACGTGGAGCTTCCTGGCCAAACTGGCGATCTTCCCGGTCAGTTCGGTGCAGCTGCGGTTCAAATCTCCGTTGCTGCTGCTGCTGCCAGTCCGGTTGGCCAGGCTCATCTCGCAGCTGCATCGGGCGATCATAATCCCTACGTTCCATGTCCTGGGGCCCTTCCTGCCTGCCCTCATAAGGTCGTCCTGGCTGTTCTCCGTACGGCCCGGCACTGCCTTCAGGATCCATCCGTCCAGGAGCCCTCTCATATCGATCATGGTCAGGGTCAAAGCGGCCTGGCTTTCTGTCATCAGGCCCAAAGTCTCTGCCAGGTGGATCTTGGCCAAATCTATTAGGATCCCTTTCATCATAGAATTCAGGTTTGTGGCTCAACTCTTCTGGATACCTCTCCAGCATTCTTGTATCTCGAGCATCAAAACGATCATCTCCTCGGTCATATCTTTGCTCTAAACAAAAAAGGATACCACATCAATACTGCAATTTTTTGTACAAATAGATGGCTATAATACAACCGTATCAGCATCCAAGTAATTTGTCCATCGACTCTGCTGTAAACCAAAATTTTATGTAACATATAAGACTCCAAAACTGCACGTATGGCTGGTACCCATGACCAGAACAAATGACCTAATATTCCTGGTAATTCAGCTACCTGCGCGAGGTGAGTCTCCTCCTTGACCGTGACCATAGTCAAAGCTCTTGACTATCTTTCCATCCACTGCCTCAAGACCCCTTGGCTCCACTGCTGAGGAAGAGAATGGCAAGTCCATTTCACGTTTTGGTGAATGACATCTCAAAAAAAAACCCCCCAAAACAAGAAGTGTTTGTGGTATCAGCCAAACATAACCTTTTAGTAAACAGAAAACCACCACCTTGATAATCCTTGTACACCAACCAGAAGAAGGCTTGAAAAGGTAAAAAACAGTCAACACTGAGTTGGACAGATCAGTTGGTGTAAACACTGGAACAAAGATTCAGGGATAACAAGTCCAATAGACTGTATTCATATGTCGGCCATCTTGAATTAAAAGTGAGGTAAAATTTTTTTATTTTGGGAACCTGAAAGTAAAAATAACTGTGACGAAATAAAAGTTCATACAAATTCATGCCAGTTTTTTTCTTAGAGTAATTTAACAAGTGATAAATTAAATCTAAATTTTTAAGCCACATTTATAAAACACTACAAGTAAGGTTTGGAACCCCAAATAGTCAGGCACCATCCAATTAAACAGATTACATTGAATACCACAGATTCCGGGAACAAAATAAAATGGCTTCCCCGTGTATATGGTCTATTGCTACTGTAGTGTGCTTTTACAAAAATTGATGCTGAAATATATATGAAATATGCTTCTGGTGTTTTATATACAAAATACTTTTGCCTGGAATACTGCAGGCAAACCCACGATACATGTATCAAGGGATGCACGCCTCTGAAAAACACAGTGCTGTAAATGTCAAGTCAACAAGGACAACTTACCACGATGTCTGGGGTAGTCCAAGTCCCTATCATAACCTCTACCTGGGTCACGTCTAGACAAAAAAAGATAATGGAATATACCAGTAATCTTTCTGATGTGGACCCTTTTGAAACCTTCCCTTCTTTCTCCACTTACAGAGCTAGCAGGTGGAAACCTTTTGTTTCCACATGCTAGCTCGGTGAAGGTGCGGTCATTTGAAAACAAAGCACCTGACTTCGTAACAGTTTGAGCATGATCAGTGAGTGTGAGCCAGGTATAGCCATGCTGATAGGTCCAAAATGGCACACATGTCGATGTTCTTAAATGACATACACTGCCCATACACTGCTGAGCCTGTGATGTAGAAATACCAAACAGGTCAATTACATCCTCATGACACACCTGCTACATGAAATTTTTAGGAGGGAAGGTTCAAGCAGTCCTAAATAATCACCGAGCAGTATCAGCCACAGAGAATACTGAAAATCACAAAGTGCAATTTGTACAAACTCCACATTGCCATATTTATGTCAAATGGGTAAGCCTTTCTGATTCATAGTTCATATGAGTGAACTCAACTAAATCAAAGACACATGAGTAACAGCATTTTAATCAGTTCAAGACAAACTTGTATACTTAACCTTAATCTGAAACCAGGTAATGCAGATTGGTTTGCAAAACGTACTTATATAAATACATAAAATCCCAATGCAACAATCAAATAAATTAAAGTCGAATATTTAAAGTTACCTGTCAAAATCATATCGATCCCGTCCAAACCCAAGTTCCATGTCCAATCTCCTCTCAATATCACGCAGCCTCCCGATGCGGGTCCTTTCTTCGTACTCCCAATCTTCCGGTGGGTAGGGGCGATAAGGGCCTTCTGCATACCGATCAGCGATGTATGGGTCGTCGGCATAGCGGGGAGGCCCTCTCCTGTACACGCCTTCCCTGTCGTAGAATTCACCCCTGGGTGGGTAGGCCTCTTCTTCGCGGTAACGAGGCAAGTCATCTGGATGGAATCTTCCCGGTTCATTGCCACCCCTGTACCTGTCTGGTCCCGGCCTGTCCATTGGATGCAGCATTCTCTCAGGTCTCTCAAGCTCTGGGTTTCTCTCTCTCTCAATTCTCTCTGGGCTCCTACGCTCTGGAGCAAGTCTGTCAACCTGCACAGTAATACATATTTTAAATATGATGTTGGCCGCCACCTCCCACATTTCCTGCAATTTGTTCAAACATTTAGTATACCGATTCTGTTTTCACTTTGTAGCACTTGTCAGTGAAATGTAATTTGCCAAAACTACCAGAGCTTAAGGCAATTACAAACTCATTTTTGAGCTAAATAATGTTTCACTTCAAAAAAAGCACACAGCATATACACAACTGATCACATACTGACTAGTACGATGCAAAAACGCCTGAATAATGCTGTATTATTCAATCATGAGTACAGACTGTGACTGAAAGACCTCTTGTTGTAATATATAACACAACCTTCTACTTGGAGATGCACTTTTTATCTAAGTCCAAAGAACATCTGTGTAATTATGAGGCTACATGTAGATTTTGTTCATTGATTTGAATAATGGCCGACTACATCAAAGTAATAAGTGTGAGGACTTTTAAAAGATTCTTTAAGCTGGGTGTGCCAAATCCAACATTCAAATTAAAAAAATCTAATTCATGCGTCAACTCAACCACTCAAAATGTTTACATCCATCAAGCGGCAAACTGCGAAATGGACATTATTCAAAATGAATTGGAAAACTGATAAATTCCATGCTGAACTTTTCAACTCCTGACCTCAAAATAGCTAACATGCATACAAAAGCCCAATCCTTACCAGCATGTCTGGTAATGGAGCTGCCTCTCCCTCTGGACCTCCTGGCAGTAACTTCTTCTGCTGTTCTCGGATCATTTTCAATTCCTGTGCTGCTTTGCGGATAATGTCATGCTCCCTTTCACTGAGTTCCTGCACTGAAGTGGCGCTCACTGGTTGCGTTGCCAGAGGCTCTGATCGGGGTGGCGAGTCAAGCCTGTAGCTCCTCGGTAGCTCAGCCTGCCTGCCACTGGGCCTCTCCAATGGTTCTTTCTGGAATGGCTCTTTCCTGGTTAGAGGATCCCGATTTGGACTTCTCAAACGGCTTCTATCAGGACTCTTGTAACGACCCCTAAAAGGAATCCTGTTGCCCCCTCGGTAAGGACTCTTATTGCGACCACGATCTCGGCCATAACCATGACCACGTTCCCAGCTCCGACGACTCCTATCACGGCCCCTACTTCTGCTACGACTCCGACTCCTGCTCCTAGTCCTGCTCCGACTTCTGTTCCTTCTCCAATTTCTGCCTTGGCTTCTACTCCGACTTCGGTTTTTGCTCCGATTTCTGCTCCTGCTTCTGCTCTTACTTCGGCTGAGGTTTCTGCTTTGATTCCTGCTCCTGCTTCGGCTCCTAGTTCTGCTACGGCTTCGGTTTTTGCTCCAATTTCTGCTCTTGCTGCGGCTACGGCTTCTGCTCCGATTAATTTTGTGGGGGCTTCTGCTGCGACTCCTACTTTTGCTCTTACTCTTACTGACCCTTCGCCGGAAACGGTCACGATTTCGAAGAGGAAAGATTGAAGTGTAGTTCTTCTTGCTCAGTTTGATGTACGATTGCGCATCCTTTTGAGCGTCCTCCTCCAGTTTTAAGGAGTTATACTTGTCCTTTACACTTGCACTGATTTCTTTTTTAACCTTGCTGCCAGTTTCTACCTTCTCAGAGTCACGTCTAGAAGCTTCTTGAACAATGACAACATCGTCATTTGGTGCCACTTTGGTGTCATCAGACTTAGCAGTAGATTCAGGCTTCTCTACTTTGCTATTTTCCTTGAACTTATTGGTAGTGGCTGGTGATTTCTCAGGCTCCTCTTTAGGGATTGCCACAGACTGCTTTGTTGCAGATTTTTCAGTCTGATCTGGAGGTGGTTTTATTATGAGGGGTGCTTCTTTTTTCACAGATGGGTACTTTTTCAAAGGGACTTTACCATCCTGGGATGTAGGTGGCCAGGCAGATATCTTGTCAGCATCTTCTCTCTCGGACTTCTCAGTGCCAACGGCAGATTTAGCGTCTTCTGTCTCAGGCTTTGCCGGAGGTATCTTAGGAGGAGGGCCAATGGTAGGTGGTGAGAAAAAGTCCACACCTGGTGGGGCTAAATCAGTCTTGGCCTTGTCTTTTGTGGTGTTTCCTTTGGATGGCTTGCTTGGTACAACTACTACCGGGGGCTCCGGTGCAGGATGTACACGAGCAGCTGTACCTTGGGCCATCACTCCCACTGGCCCCATTCCTAGAGGTCCCATAGTTTGTGCCATCATTGCGTTCTGTTCAGTGTCAAGTTGTCCCATTCCTGGCAGTGGCATTCCTTGCTGCCACATCCCCTGTGCACCCATTGTTTGGTCCATTCCTTGAGGTAATGCCCCTTGCATTCCCATTTCGTTGGGGTTTCTCATGTGGAAATCCACACTTGGTCCTCCAAATCCTTGACGATCCATGACCCCAGGCTTTATGCCACTTGGATTCATATCTATACCACTGTCCACTGCCTGCGGACCACTACCAGGTGGACCCATGCCATGCTCTGGTCCTTGAAACCCTCTGAGACCTGTTGGGCCCATTTCAGCTGGAACTCTGGGTTCCATAGGTCCAGGGCCTCGAGGTCCTATAATACCAGGACCCCTTGGGCCGAATCTATCAGGACCAACTGTGCCCATTCCATCAGGACCTCTTGGACCAATGCCACCTGAACCCAATCCAATAGGGCCCATGTCACCTGGACCAATTGGACCCACATTACCAGGACCCAATGGACCCATTTCTAGAGGACCTCTTGGACCAATTCCACTTGGACCTCTTGGACCCATTTGATCAGGTCCTCTTGGACCTCTTCCAACAGGACCCCTTGGTCCTATTTTCTCTGGACCTTTTCCACTGGCAAACCTTGGGCCCATTTCCCTGGGACCTCTTGGACCCATGCGTGGACCATCCATTGTTCCAGGGCCAGGCAGGCCCCTTGGGCCAAATGAACCAGGGCCTCCTGGTTCCATGTCACCAGGACCCATTATTCCAGGACCCATTCCTCTTGGACCTCTAGGAGGGATTCCAGCTGGGCCTCTTGGACCCCTTTCATTCGAATCCCTTGGACCAATTCTATCTGGACCCATTCTTTCTAAATCCCCCGGTCCTGATCTTCTTGGATCACCCCCTCTGGAACCTCCTGGACCACGGTGACCTACTTTGCCAGGACCACTGCCTGGACGTACTCCTGGTCCAACACCAGGTTGCATACCTGAATCCACACCAGGACCCATGCCCACATTCATTCCAGCTCCAGGACCCATTTCAGGGCCCATCCCTGGACCCATGCCTGGACCCTGACCTGGTCCCATATTTGGGCCCATGCCTGACCCCATTCCTGGACCCATATCTAAGCCTACGACTGGACTCATGCCTGGAACCATGCCTGGACCCACACCCATACTAGAACCCATACCAGGACCCATAAATGAACCCATCCCTGGACCAATATCTTGACCCATGCTTGGATCCATACCTTGACCCATACCTAGACCCATACCTGAACCCATGCCTGGGCCCATACCTGAACCCATGCTCAGACCCATACCTAAACCCATGCCTGGTCCCATACCTGAACTCATGCCTGGGCCCATTCCTGAGTTTTTACTTTGCCCTTTGTCTTTTCCACGATTTTTGGGGCGGGACTGCTCAGGAGGTACAGCCATTCCCCTTACTCGAATTGCATCTTCCTCATTTACTATCTGCTTCTGGATATCCCTCAGTGTGTTTTCCATCTGCATCTGCCAGCCTTTCCATTGCTCAAGGTATCTATTAAACTGTTCTTTATTAGGATGGCCCAGGTGGTCATCTTTCCACTGTTTAAAATCCCTCTCCCACTTTTGGAGCTGGTCATTGAAGTCCATTCGTCTTTCCCGTAAAGCAAACTGTGAACAAAAAAAAACTTGTTTAAAAAAGGAACCATTAATGGAACGCTGCTATAACGAACATGCCGGGGTCGACGCTAAATGTTCGGTTCAGCGGTCGTTTGGTGCAGCGAAATTTACTGCCGAACATTTCATTGCCATGTTGCATAGGGCCCCCTTCCTGTTTAACTGAAGTGCACCCTCTTGTGACACTAAGGTTCGCTGTTTTCGTGATGTTTTGCCGTTGCATTCACGTTTAAGGTTTCTAAAAATGTATCTGTTAAAATTATTTTTGTTGTTTATTAGATCTTAAGTTACAAAATCCTAAAAGTCTAGGAAATCTAACAGACCTAGCCAAAATGTTCACTACATGTGCATATAGTATCCGAGTCCTGTATTAAACAGAGTGCCAACTTTCTTGTTCTCTGCCAACCAATCTCGTGTGTACACATACATACTGTACAATAATGCACCCAGGGAGCACATACATGTACAGTACAGTCTGTACATGTGGATGACGGTTTTTACAACCAAATATTTTGAAACCAAACTGCACTTGGAGGTGGGTAAATTGTTTGTTAGAAAGAAAACTGGTAAATTGCAAAACAGCACTAACAATTAAAGTTAATTGTCAAAATCTGAACACTGCCCAAGAGGCCTACAGGTTTTTGTAAACACAGTTCTCATGCAAAAATGATACTGTGTTGACAAGGTTTCAGGTAATTCGTGTATTCTAAATGACACCTAAGGCTTCAACCAAATGCACATTTTTCAGACACTTTTTATGCAGCAAAAGTGTAATTTGTTTCTTGCCAACTGTTCAGGATTGTGGCCAAAGTCAGTAAATAATCCTGATCACAATTTGGTACAGAAAAGACAGCTCATTCCGTAATTTATTTTGTGATCCACTTTTGTCCATTATTCTATGTGAATTGAATGGTTTTGGATGAGAGTGAATTAGATCCACTTGATATTGATTTGTTAGACTCTTTTTTCAAATAGATCAATTACAGGATGTTTGAATCTTTCAGTTTATTGGAAAGCAGTGATAATTAGTTGGCTTTCAATTCCAAGCTTAAGTTCTGAAGTCCAATTTCATGGAAAGTTGATACATGTATGTTGTCCTACTTCTTAAGTGACTTCATCTCAAGTGAATTCAGATAGGACCAATTATTTTTATTATCAATGGAATGTTGCCTCATCTCAGTTTGTACATACAGTATGCAATTTTTCTTCAAGAGCTCATGTATATATACACATGTACGTATGGTAACATGCAATTACTTTCTAGAGTTAATAATTCCTTATTTTGTCAGGCACCTTTTCAAGTATCACAAGTATGAACAGATCTTTGTACGGAGCAGGTAAGTTTTTTTTTTAAATTGTGAAAGGACTGAAAGAAACAAACCACATTTTTACGACGGACACAAATTTAAGGCAACAATTTCGAGCATCACGAGCTTACCAGTAGTTCGTATCCCGTCCCTTGCATTTGCTGTTGTGCTTGGAGCTGCATGTTCTGTTGAAACATCATCTGCTGCAGCATCCACTGCTGATAATGTTCTTGAAATTGATTCATCTTAAGAGCTTTTGCTGCTGATGTTCTCTGTCCAAAGTACTCTGTGTTGCTCTGCCTGCAGCCTTGTGTTCGTCACAATTAGCTGGTCATCCTGTCACACAAGTTAGAGGTAGTTCTTGTTAACATGTGCAGCAATGGTACATGTAAATCACCTCATAAACTTGATCTGGGGAACATTTATGGGTCTAGTTCAATGTTAACAATTAAATCAGCTAACATTTTGTGACTACATGTAAATGTATATAGCTCTCTAGCCCTACACTAGGCCCCGTCTACTGGACTAACTGTGTATCGTTGGCTGGTAGTAATGATCATCAGAAGAATAGACTCATGACCAGACACAAGACCAAAGACCATTCACCAACATGACCAAAGACCATTCACAAATCCAGTCACAAGTGAGGGGGGGGAACAATGACACTTTATTGAATAGCTTGTGATATGAATCATGGTCTTTAGAGGTTTTCACTACAACACTGATCCTTGGACCAATGCCCATACTATAAAAAAAAACTGAAAGGCCTCTGCTTTGCAAAAAAGCGTCATATCAGACCCGTTTCTCTCATAAAGCTCATTCACCCAAGTACACGAAGTTTATTTATTTGCCTGAACTGCAAATTCCTGATTGTTCCTGTTCATGAAATTGGGCCCCTCTTATGTCATCTCAACACCACTATTCGTTTACAACATTGATTCACTCCTGATCATTGAACAAGTGATAAGCACAGTCGGGATCCTTTGGGTGCGAGAACCAGATGGTAAAGAACAACATGCACATGTAGAACCCCAGAATGTATTTGAAAGAAGGTTAACATGTTGACTGCAGTGTTCTAGCCAGGTATTCCAAAGCATATTGGGCGAATACACTGAGCAAAAAGGCTGACACACTGAAAATCCCCAAATATGCAATTGATACGCTTCTATTTTCAAGGGAACAGTTACTAATATTAAGTTTTAAAAAAATTGTTATCATAAAGTTCTTTAAAAACACCGACGAAAAGTAGCCAGAATATCAATTATATATAACGGTTTGCCCGTACCCTACGTATATTAATAAGCACTGTATGCTCAGTGCTTGTCCGAGAG